CAGGAAAACCTTAGCCTTACAAGTATTCTAAAACATGAAACAATGAAACGTCAACTGCAAGGCCGTAGTCCTTGGCCGCCTCTGGTCACCACAGGTTGCGTGACATTAATGAATGGGGCGGAGTTAAGGTTTATGACGTTACAGCGGTGTGTCTTTACTGTATAATTATAGTCCATGCCTCCAACCTACTGTATAATTATAGTCCATGCCTCCAACCTACTGTATAATTATAGTCCATGCCTCCAACCTACTGTATAATTATAGTCCATGCCTCCAACCTACTGTATAATTATAGTCCATGCCTCCAACCTACTGTATAATTATAGTCCATGCCTCCAACCTACTGTATAATTATAGTCCATGCCTCCAACCTACTGTATAATTATAGTCCATGCCTCCAACCTACTGTATAATTATAGTCCATGCCTAACCTACTGAATAATTATAGTCCATGCCTAACCACTGTATATATAGTCCATGCCCAACCTACTGTATAATTATAGTCCATGCCTCCAACCTACTGTATAATTATAGTCCATGCCTCCAACCTACTGTATAATTATAGTCCATGCCTCCAACCACCTCTTCTTTTTCCTTTTTAGAGAGAGAAAGAAGAGTAGGGGTGGAGGAAGGAAGTTATAGTTCAGAAATTGAAGAAATCTAGGAGGTGGTAAAAAAGGGCGGGCTGACCGCCTTCCTACGGGTTAGCTACACGAATAGTGTATTGGGGTTGTGTCGTGGGTTAGTTATTGTCTGTCGGTTTAGGCACCAGACAGCCTACCCTATCCCAGATATGGGTGTTGAGGGATTTATTTCATGTTCCGACGACCCTACTGGCGGATTCTGGTCTAAGGAGGTTGCCTATTGCCTGGCCGTATAGATCGGGGGTGGTAATGGACCTTTTGAGATTTGGTAACTTTTTGGGAACCATGTATGGTTGTTGTCGTTGTCTGGTGGGAGTCTTTGAAGGAGCTCTTGCTCTGAACGTTCTATCTTTTGCCAGACTCTGCTGGCCAGGGCTTCATTTTGGACCACCTGTAATTATAATAATTGGGTGGTGCTCGTAGTATGAAGAGGTACTGTTGGGTTAATATCGGTATGATAAGTGATGTAACTAGGCGGAGTTCTATTTTTCTTCAGGAAGCGCATTAAAGTGGTAAAGTTTATCAGCTCTCTTGTTGCCTTTTCCTTCCTGGTGTGGACGTGATGGGAGTAACCTGTCGTGGATATATTCAGGCCCAGGAGGGTGCCTCTGCTATTGTATTCTATATGGGCATTCATTAGCTTCTAATGGATGGGCTTTCCTTCTGTATAAGGGTATCACTGAATTTTGGGAGACTGGTTTTGATTTTTTCTTCGTAATTATTAACCCTTTCTATTTCCCGTCTGGTGTTGTCGACCTGTAACGCTCGTGATTTTCCTCGGTGTGTTGTTATTTGAGTGATGTCATCTGCATACATAATATCTTCGTTTCCTATTCTAGAAGGAGATGGGGTGTCACTTGTGTAGATGATAAATAGGAAGGGAGGAGGACGCTGCCCCAGGACTCCTCATGAGTGGGAAGGCCTATCCTGTGTGTTGTCCCGCCCTCAGTCTGGCATTTCTGCCGTCAAGAAAACTGCAAAGCAGCTGGATGTTGATGGGACGTCCGAGTTGAAGGATCTTGTATTTTAGACCGTCATGCCAGACTTTGTCAAACGCCTTTGCTTCATCCCGGAGTTAGATTACATTGGCTACCATTGCTCCGGCTCTGGCAATGTTTTCACATGCCAGGGCTATCGCTGTTGAGGTGGACTTCCCTTTCCAGAAGCCAAATTGTCTGCAATTGATTCTGCTGGTTGTTTCCAGGTAATTTCTCAGATGGTTACTAATGATTTTTTTTCTAGGATTTTACCAGGTGGGAGGAGGAGTTCTTACCGTATTTTGGTGTTAGGGTAATAATGGCCTCCTTGAATTTAGTTGGGAAGTAGCCCGAGGCCAGGCAGGCTTTTATCGTGGTTCTCAGTCTCCATGGCCGGGTGGTTTGTGTGACGAAGGATCTCCATGGTGATGCCCGAGTAGCCAGGGGCTTCATTTTTGGTGTTAGAGATGGCTGTATTGAGTTCTTCCGAGGTGATTGGTTTGGACAGTGGGCTGTTCTCTCTCAGATCCTCCCATATGATTTCAGGAGAAGGCTGAGTGCGGTGTGTCTGGCCCCGGAGTTCATCAAGGACGAGCTCCTCGCGGGTGCCATCAAATCCCCTATTCTCTTCATTTATGATTCGGAAGATGTTCCTCCATATGTCCCTGAATATGGGTTCTTTGTCTTGGTCGTCATATATTTTGCTTCCTGTGTGGTCAGTTATATATGTTGACTCATCTCTCTCCCTACCTCCAACCACCTCCCTATAATTCTTACTTATCATTATTACTTATTATTATTCCCCTCTCACCTGAATTTTATCTCTTTATCACCTTTCATCTTATATTCTTCTGTGATTCTTTCTTGTTATTTACTTCCTTATTACTAGTATATCTTTATTCTTTTCTCTTATCTATATATCTGAATCTTACCTATTATTCCCACCTATGATCTCTGCCTATCATTACCGCCAGTATAATCTCAAGTGTATTAGCAGTGAACAGGTGTGGTGTGTTTACAGGTGTAGTGTACTGTACCTCTCAACAGGTGGGGTGTGTTTACAGGTGTAGTGTACTGTACCTCTCAACAGGTGAGGTGTGTTTACAGGTGTAGTGACTGTACCTCTCAACAGGTGAGGTGTTTACAGGTGTAGTGTACTGTACCTCTCAACAGGTGTGGTGTGTTTGCACGTGTAGTGTACTGTACCTCTCAACAGGTGAGGTGTGTTTACAGGTGTAGTGTACTGTACCTCAACAGGTGTGGTGTGTTTACAGGTGTAGTGTACTGTACCTCCAACAGGTGAGGTGTGTTTACAGGTGTAGTACTGTACCTCTCAACAGGTGAGGTGTGTTTGCAGGTGTAGTGTACTGTACCTCTCAACAGGTGTGGTGTGTTTACAGGTGCAGTGTACTGTACCTCTCAACAGGTGTGGTGTGTTTGCAGGTGTAGTGTACTGTACCTCCAACAGGTGAGGTGGTTTGCAGGTGTAGTGTACTCACCTCTAACAGGTGAGGTGTGTTTACAGGTGTAGTGTACGTACCTCTCAACAGGTGTGGTGTGTTTGCAGGTGGACTGTACCCTCTCAACAGGTGAGGTGTGTTTACAGGTAGTACTGTACCTCTCAACAGGTGTGGTGTGTTTACAGGTGTAGTGTGTACTGTACCTCCCAACAGGTGTGGTGTGGTTTACAGGTGTAGTGTACTGTACCCTCAACAGGTGTGGTGTGTTTACAGGTGCATTGTACTGTACCTCTCAACAGGTGTGTTTACAGGTGTAGTGTAATTGTACCTCTCAACAGGTGTGGTGTGTTTACAGGTATAGTGTAATTGTACCTCTCAACAGGTGAGGTGTGTTTACAGGTGTAGTGTACTGTACCTCTCAACAGGTGTGGTGTGTTTACAGGTGTAGTACTGTACCTCAACAGGTGGTGTGTTACAGGTGTAGTGTACTGTACCTCCCAACAGGTGGGGTGTGTTTTTAGGTGTAGTGTACTGCACCTCTCAACAGGTGGGGTGTGTTTACAGGTGTAGTGTACTGTACCTCCAACAGGTGGGGTGTGTTTACAGGTGTAGTGTACTGTACCTCTCAACAGGTGGTGTGTTTACAGGTGTAGTGTACTGTACCTCAACAGGTGTGGTGTGTTTACAGGTGTAGTGTACTGTACCTCTAACAGGTGTGGTGTGTTTACAGGTGTAGTGTACTGCACCTCTCAACAGGTGGGTGTGTTTACAGGTGTAGTGTACTGTACCTCTCAACAGGTGTGGTGTGTTTACAGGTGTAGTGTACTGTACCTCCTCAACAGGTGAGGTGTGTTTACAGGTGTAGTGTACTGTACCTCAACAGGTGTGGTGTGTTTACAGGTGTAGTGTACTGTACCTCTCAACAGGTGTGGTGTGTTTACAGGTGCAGGTACTGTACCTCTCAACAGGTGGGGTGTGTTTACAGGTGTAGTGACTGCACTTCAACAGGTGGTGTGTTTACAGGTGCAGTACTGCACCTCTCAACAGGTGTGGTGGTTTACAGGTGCAGTGTTTGCACCTCTCAACAGGTGTGGTGTGTTTACAGGTGTAGTGTACTGTACCTCTCAACAGGTGTGGTGTGTGTACAGGTGTAGTGTACTGTACCTCCTAACAGGTGTGGTGTGTGTTTACAGGTGCAGTGTACTGCACCTCTCAACAGGTGGGGTGTGTTTACAGGTGTAGTGTACTGTACCTCTCAACAGGTGGGTGTGTGTACAGGTGTAGTGTACTGTACCTCAACAGGTGTGGTGTGGTTGCAGGTGTAGTGTACTGTACCTCAACAGGTGGGGTGTGTTTACAGGTGTAGTGTACTGTACCTCTCAACAGGTGGGGTGTGTGTTTACAGGTGTAGTGTACTGTACCTCTCAACAGGTGGGGGTGTGTTTGCAGGTGTAGTGTACTGCACCTCTCAACAGGTGTGGTGTGGTTTACAGGTGTAGTGTACTGTACCTCTCAACAGGTGTGGTGTGTTTACAGGTGTAGTGTACTGTACCTCTCAACAGGTGTGGTGTGTTTACAGGTGTAGTGTACTGTACCTCTCAACAGGTGTGGTGTGTTTACAGGTGTAGTGTACTGTACCTCTCAACAGGTGTGGTGTGTTTACAGGTGTAGTGTACTGTACCTCTCAACAGGTGTGGTGTGTTTACAGGTGTAGTGTACTGTACCTCTCAACAGGTGAGGTGTGTTTACAGGTGTAGTGTACTGTACCTCTCAACAGGTGTGGTGTGTTTACAGGTGTAGTGTACTGTACCTCTCAACAGGTGGGGCGTGTTTACAGGTGTAGTGTACTGTACCTCTCAACAGGTGTGGTGCTGTCCATAGACCCGCCCACCAGGACGCCCGCGGCAGGTGCTGGAGCCATGCACACCCGCAAGGTGGGCATAAGGATGCTCGGTAAGTGTCACAGCTTCTGTTTTCCTCCTTCTCTCAACCAATCATATAGCTTTACGCCATAGACCTTCTGTCCAATCACAATGCTAAATGTACACATAGCTGTACATCGTATTTTTCCGACCAATCAAAGAGCTAGACGTCACAGTCTTGCTTATCATGTCACGGACCTCCTGCCAGCCAATCACAGTATTGTCTGTTATGTTGTTTCTTGTTGGATATATAGTTGGAGGGAAAAGTGAGAAGTAAATGGATATTGACAGGTGTGTGTGTGTGTGTGTGTGTGCAGTGGGGGGCGGGGAAGGTGTGGTGGGCGTGGGTGTAGGTGTAGTCTGAATCAATCTCCCGCCCGCAGTAGCCGTGGTGGTGGCGTTCTTCGTGTGCTGGGCGCCCTTCCACGCTCAGCGGCTCATGTTCGTCATCGTCACCAGCTACGGCAAGTGGACCGCCCATCTCCGCTCCGTCAACACCAAGCTCTACTACTTTACCGGTAAGTGAACCAGTGTACCGGTAAGAGAACCACTGTACCGGTAAATGAACCAGTGGACCAGTAAGAGAACCAGTGTACCGGTAAGTGAACCAGTGGACCAGTAAGAGAACCACTGTACCGGTAAGTGAACCAGTGGACCAGTAAGAGTACCAGTGTACCGGTAAGTGGACCAGTAAGAGAACCAGTGTACCGGTAAGTGAACCAGTGGACCAGTAAGAGTACCAGTGTACCGGTAAGTGGACCAGTAAGAGTACCACTGTACCGGTAAGTGGACCAGTAAGAGAACCAGTGTACCGGTAAGTGAACCAGTGGACCAGTAAGGACTCAAGAAAACTATGCCCGACCCTACAACAACATCAGTGACTTAAGAGTCAAACATCAATTGGAAAATTGACTTCAGAAATCTTTACGTTTCTTAATTGTATCTTAAAATAGTTAACACGTAGCTGATGAGCACTAATTAGCAGAGGCTTAACCTTAACTTTCTTAACATCCGGTAGTTGTTATATGAAACTTTACGAGTTTAAAGACTGAAGGATTGAATCTCTCTCTCTCTCTCTCTCTCTCTCACTAACACCTGCCATTACCACTAGGTATCTGCTACTACCTCAACTCGGCCGTCAACCCCATCCTCTACTCCGTCATGTCAGTCCGCTTCCGCATCGCCTTCCGGAGATCACTGTGCGGGGGAAAGGAGTGGGCGAGGAGACAGCTCTACCTCTCCAACACTCACGGCCACCTACACCTCTCCAACAACTCCAACATACTCAACAGGACGTCCACCACCTCCACCAGACGGGTTCTCGAGACCAGCAACCGAAATGGGATTAATTACGTATTCGAGCAGATGGAGATTGAGGCTTGAATCTCTGACCAAAACCCACACATTATATATATATATATATATATATATATATATATATATATATATATATATATATATATATATATATATATATATATATATATATATATATATATATATATATATATATATATATATATCTGTATAGATGGTTATTATACATTGTGTTCATTATCCCTTGATATATATACAGTATTTTCATGTACACCCACAAGTTAGACACAGTGTTAGTGTCTCAGGCACGGCTGGGGAATTTTAAACGTAGGGGTAAGTTCCACATATCCAGGGTAAATTCCTTATATCGAGGTAAGTTCCATAAATTGAGGAGTTCAGTCATCGTCACTCAAAAGTAAAGACTTAACCGTACTTTATTATGAGAGAACGACAGACGCTGCTGGGTGCTTACACTGGCATTCTTTGAATGATATGACCGTCAGTCAGTGAAAGCGAGAAGAACACAGCTGTGTCACAAAGCTTTCGTTTTCCTTCCCATCACGAAACACTGAACGTAAACATGGGACTTATCGAGAGTATAAGGAACGACTCATAATAAGACACTAGTTATTACTCTATGTGCTTATATCTTAGCGTTATATATGTGATTGTTAATATACCTGATGACTTTATTGTTTGACAAGTCCAGAAAACTGAGGGCGCGCGGGTCGGGTCGTGCTGCGTCTCTGTAACAAAGTGTATTCGGCATTCGGGCCTTCGTTGTTGAGCCGCAGAAATTGGACAGTGATTACATAAGATCATCAAGATCGTCTTAGTGATGTGAAAGTGTAAATCAATGTAGGATTTTTAATGCTAGACGCGATTGTATTTTTGAAAACTCAATCTCCACCGAGTTGGAGGTCCAGCCCAGGTCAAGAGGCCTACAACCACAAAATCATTGCCATATAACAAAGCTTTATTAAATTTTTTTACGGAGTTGTGGTCACGGCTGTGATATAGGCCAACCAGGGAGTGTAGTGCTGTGCCTTTAGTTAAATCAGTTCATAGTGTCATCAGTGACAGCGGAAGAGGTTGTAAATAACTTAAAGTAAATACAAATTGGCAAGCAAGCTGGTAAGGCACCACTGCCAGCAGAGACTTAGTCGTGTTATAGGTGCCACAGAGACTAAATTTTATTTTGTTTGTGTGCTTTCTCATGGACTAAAACTGTGCCTACAATACACCATTCACAGGGAGATACAGTGTACACAGTGATAGCACAAAGAGATATAATCGTTGATGAGAACATGAAAAGAAAGTATAAGGAAATAATAGTTAAAATAAAAAACAAAACAAAAATAAGCTTGGCGATCCTTAAAGGCATTCTATTACCGCCCCAAAGAAAGATTTATTTTATTTTTCTGTGCTTCTAAAGGACTGAGTGGGCGTATAAAATCCGTTATTCATAGCAAAATGCAGTGTACATAGAGATAGCATATAAATACTGACAAACCGCCTAAGTAAACTGAAAAAAAAGAGAAGAAAAACAGAAGACAACGAGTGAGGTTAAAACCAGCAGAGGGCAGCTAAGTACTGGGTATTTATCTTTATTTTTAAATAGGTGTAGATCTATACACAGTCTGCACACAACAACAACAACAACAACCATTAGGGATATGATGATATGTGATTACTGCGAGGGATGATGGATATGGATGATACAGGCCTGACCAATGCAACGTTTAGGAAGATACAAACTGCCGTAAAACATGAAGGCTGTCACACGCTGGGTACCACAGGGCAATGTATTGGGACCGCTATTGTTTGTTTGTTTCATAAATGACATGCCTGACGTTGTACACTCCTCCATACAAATGTTTGTCGATGACGCCAAGTTATTTCGGGAAATCAAGAACCAAACGGACTGTGAATAGCTGCAAAAGGATCTCTGTGAGCTCCAAGAATGATCAAAGAAATGGCTGCTGAGATTCATTGTCACGAAGTGTAAGAGGATGCACCTGGGGCGTACCAACGGTAAGGAGGCGTATCATATGTCCCAGCGGGATGAAGAAACTGCACTAGTTGAGACTGAATGTGAGGACCTAGGTGTGTATGTTGACAATGAGCTGAAGTTCTCAGGCCATTGCGAGAAGAAGGTAAATCAGGCAAATAAATTATTGGGTCTTATAAGAAGGTCGTTCAGATATCTAGACGGTCCATCCCTTGTAACGATCTTCAAGAGTGAAGTGCTTCCCCATCTGGAGAGCTGTCACCCCGTCTGGTCCCCGAGATATGCTAGGGGCTGTCAGTTAGTTGAAAATGTTCAAAGGAGGGCCACCAGACTGGTGCCTGCACTTCGGCACCTCAACTACCCTGAGAGATTGGAGCACCTGAACTTGCCTAGCTTATACTACAGACGGGCAAGGGGCGACCTAATTATTGAGGTGTATAAGCATCGCAAGGGGCACTACTCAGTCGAGTGTCCTTACTTGGAGCTGGCGGATGCTCGCCCCACAAGGGGTCACAGCTCAAGATTGAAGAAGCCGCAAGTCCAGAAAACTGTGAGGGCAAACTTTTTCGGAGTGAGAGTTGTGAACTCTTGGAACAATCTACCAGAAAGTGTTGTGACGGCACCGAGTGTGAGCTGTTTCAAGACCAGACTTGACCAACACTGGAGCAGGTTCAGGTACATTTAGGAGCCGGTGCATGCCCAGTACTTGCCAACAGTGCGTAACAGAGACGTGACCGATAGCCCAAGCGGCTAACGAGCCGATCAGTGGTGAAGAGGATAAAAGTATAAAAAGTGTAAATGACATTATACACACTGACTCTGTACTTATTGCTACAGACAAAGGTTCTAAAATATATACATTGTGTGTTAAGCTCAAAATAACATTCCTGAAGGAGTGTTTGGTGAAACTTGTTAATTAATGTCAAGACGCATCTTGGTGTACTAAGAGTGGTGTGTAAGTGAGAGTGTTTATAAATGTTTTTACTTGTGGTTAACTTTAATTCTTGTGACATGTGTGAGGGTAACAAAATGCCTTTATATTTAATGGGCTCTAACTTGGCGTAATTTATCCTAACCTAAGATAGCGAAACTTAACCTAACCTATTCAGCCTAATCTAATTCACCCATACTTAACTTAACCTTCCCTATTACAACCTATCCTAACCTAACAACCCAATTTACCTTTAACTAACCCAACCTTAACTAACTTAACCTAACAACCTAATTTACCTAACCAAAATACTGGGATTAGTACATTAGCATTAGGCATCATCACAGCTGGGGTTATTCCTAGTCAGGTTAGTGTTAGATTAGGTTGGCGTTAGTGTTAGGGTAGTATTAGATTTGGTTAGCGTTAGGTTAGTATAGTGTTGCTTAGGTTAGCGTAGGTTAGATTAGGTTAACATTATATATAGGTTAGGTTAGTGTCAGGTTAGCGTTAAAATAGGTTAGGTTAGGTTAAGTTGGTCTAGGCTAGGTTGCGTTGGAATTGGTTAGGTTAGGCTAGGTTAGATTAAGTTAGGTGATCGGAACTTAGTTGGTGATAAATCTGAGTTTACTGCTGGTGATTAAAGGGATTTATGTGAGTTTGGGGGAGACAGGATCACCATGACAGTTTACCAAGAGGCACTGTCACTGTCTGGTAGGTGTCACTGTCTGGTAGGTGTCACTGTCTGATAGGTGTTACTGTCAAGAACTAAAAACTACAGTGAGTGTAAGACAGAACATACCACAGGTGCTAGTTATTATAGAAACAGTGAACCAGAGATATGAATCATTATAGAAACAGTGAACCAGAGATATGAATCATTAAAGAAACAGTGAACCAGAGATATGAATCATTATAGAAACAGTGAACCAGAGATATTGAATCATTAAAGAAACAGTGAACCAGAGATTTGAATCATTATAGAAACAGTGAACCAGAGATATGAATCATTATAGAAACAGTGAACCAGAGATATGAATCATTATAGAAACAGTGAACCAGAGATATGAATCATTATAGAAACAGTGAACCAGAGATTTGAATCATTTAGAAACAGTGAACCAGAGATATGAATCATTATAGAAACAGTGAACCAGAGATTTGAATCATTATAGAAACAGTGAACCAGAGATATGAATCATTGCAGAAACAGTGAACCAGAGATATGAATCTAAAGAAACAGTGAACCAGAGATATGAATCATTATAGAAACAGTGAACCAGAGATATGAATCATTATAAGAAACAGTGAACCAGAGATATGAATCATTATAGAAACAGTGAACCAGAGATATGAATCATTATAGAAACAGTGAACCAGAGATATGAATCATTATAGAAACAGTGAACCAGAGATATGAATCATTATAGAAACAGTGAACCAGAGATATGAATCATTATAGAAACAGTGAACCAGAGATTTTAATCATTATAGAAACAGTGAACCAGAGATATAAATCATTATAGAAACAGTGAACCAGAGATATAAATCATTATAGAAACAGTGAACCAGAGATATGAATCATTATAGAAACAGTGAACCAGAGATTTTAATCATTATAGAAACAGTGAACCAGAGATATAAATCATTATAGAAACAGTGAACCAGAGATATGAATCATTTTAGAAACAGTGAACCAGAGATATGAAACTACTGTTCCAGAGAACCAAGTGATTATGGACACAGACATACTTGTAACCAATCACTGTGGAGTATACTAATATCATCGTAAACACTGCTGGCGTCATTAACCAATAACCATGGGGAATACTGGTGTCATTACCCAATCACTGTGGAGAATACTGACGTCATTTACCAATCACTATAGAAAATACTGGCGTCATTGACCAATCACTGTTAAGTGTACTGACGTCATCATAAACAATGCTGACGTCATTAACTAATCACTTTGGAGAATGCTGACGTCATCATAACATAGTACCACCATTAGAAGCAAATGACACCACTATGGAGTTATATGGTGTCATTAACACTCTTAGTACCATTACAAAGGCAATAAATAACATAAATGAGAACCTTGACACCATAATAGAGGCATGTGACACCACTAACTCATAA